CTGAGCTGTATGAGAAAGGAAAGGGGGTCTGATTCTGGAACAGCCTCCTCTAGGCATTATAATTTAATCTATCATTGTCTTATCTCCTCTTCTTTCCTCTTGCCATATCAAGAACTCCAGTGCCCGTAGTGTCCCTTTCCTTTCTTTAGAGAGAACACATAACAGTGTTTTTCTGGTAACTCTCCACTGAAGAGCACAATGCTTTTATGTCTTATATCACTGTATTTGTGGTGAAGTACCAGAGAAATTTGCCCAAAGTCAGTCAGTCAACATTAAGGCCCTGCTATATACCAGACAAATAGAAAACATGGATCTTGTTTCAGGGACCTTGCAGTCCAGTTTAGCTCTACTCCAAAGCACATAGAATTACCAAAGAATAAAGAACTTATTAATGAATACTGTTGAATATAGTACAAACTGAGCCCATGAGTTCAGAAGAGTCAGTAGAGGAATGTTAAGAAGGAACAGTCAATGAAATGCAGAATGAAACACATTTTTGACATGACCAATATTGGAGGGATACAAAAATAAATACTTGATTACTGAAAAAGGTATTAGGGAAAGCTTCTTTGAAATAGTGAATTTGAAGTATTTGAAAGAGCATCTGGCTTGATGAAAAGCTCATTGATAACTGAGCCAAAACTAGAACCCTAAAAATTAAATTCATAATTCTTGTCACTGCCTCACATTGTCTTTTCCTTTTGCCTCATTCTCTGTTTATAGTTTTTAACTGAAGGTCATGGCTAGTGGGCCTGCCCAGGTTCCTCAGAACTCCCAGGTCCCTATTCCTGAGACTCTGGGGGTACTTATAGCAGACCAGCTCTCATCCTTCTTTCATTACATGGTCAGCATCCCTGATTAAAGTGTTTTTACACCAGTTGTCCACTAACCCTTTGAAGAGCTGGACCATCTGAGCACGATACCTGATTTTCCCCATCTTGGTTATGGGGCTATACTGACCCTGATTTTAATCCCATATTTCTGCTTTTTCACCAGGATCCCCTCTGTTCTTCTACCTACCTCTTCTACCTCTTGTCCTCTACCTGCCTTCTGAAAAGTCCTGGGACACAGACCTCAAACTATTGCACAGTCCCATCTTATCCTCTTGCCCATTTCCTCATAATGTGGCCTAAGGAGAGGAAGGTGGCAGGGAGAGTGAGACAACTGAGCTGAGGATCTGAAAAGTGGGAATGAGGGGGAGGGCATTGATGTTTGGTGTTCACTGATTTCTTCTGCAAAAGAACCCCTCTTGCTTTGTTCATTATCTAGCTCTGTGTGTATGTGTTCGTGTGTGTGTATTGTATATGTCTGTCTCCAGTGAACAGAAGAGAAGAGACAGCTAGCAGCCCCTAACCTATCACCATAATGAGAGCTGTAACACTATTGCCCTTGCTGCTTAGGAAAAAAGGCTGAGATGAGGTAATTATGGATTGGCCCCACCCCCACCTCAGCCACTTGGTCTTGGCCTCCTTATGGAGGTGAGAATTGGAAGTGGCTTCTGAAGGGCAAGAAAGCTGTAGGCCAAAATCAGAAAACTGAGGTGGAAATGACCACTTGGAGAAGGTCAGCAGGGAATAGGTATCTGACAGCCCTTTCATGACACTGGCTGGGCCAAGGTCAATGTGAAACTGCCATCACCACTCCCTCAAGGAAGTGCTTCTAAAACCAGAAGGGAAGGTGGTGATGAGATGGTTTTAAAGATTACAACCTTTGTAGGTTACAATCTCTCAACTGTGTCAGTTGGTCTGATTTTCACCACACATGAAAGTCTCTGGTCCTCCCCCCATCCCTGTTTCTACTTGCTCTGCCATATTTACCGACCCTGTGGTTATTGTTGCTGGGTATTTAGTGGGAAGAGTAGCTGTAGAGTTGAGTGTTCTTAATATTTTTTGCAAATATTTTTTTCTCAAACATCAGTTTTTCAGTTAAAAAGTTTAAAATATTTCCAGCCCTCATGAGAGGGACCAAGAGCTGGGGAGGGGAGCCATAGAAACATAGAAATATGGTCCTTTACAAAGTTTTTAAAAGGAGGTAGATAGAATAGGTTACCTTGTGTGTGTATCTGTCTGTCTGTCTGTCTGTCTGTCTCTGAGTCAAGGAAGAAAGGCTTTGCTTGGCTTCACTCTTGGGTCACCCCCTGTCTCCACAGACGGATGATCTCAGCAACCCCTTTGGGCAGATGAGCCTTAGTCGACAAGGTTCCGCCGAAGCAGCTGATCCATCTTCAGCCCTTTTCCAGCCCCCACTTCTCTCCCAACACCCTCAACAGCCTGGCTTCATTATGGCTTCCACAGGCCAGCCTCTCCCCACCTCCAACTACTCCACCTCCAGCCATGCTCCCCCGGCACAACAAGTCCTGCAGCCTCAGGGCTACATACAGCCCCCACAACAGGTAGGAAACCTTGAGTCCTAGTTTTGATCTTTTAGGCTGTTAACAGGGTTAAAAATCTTTCCTTCATCATCCCTCTTTTCTTCCTCCATTCTAGATAGACAGCCAAAAAGCTGTCAACATCCTAGTCCTCCTAGCATTCTGTCAGCATTCTGACAGGAAGTTCCTTATTGATATCTTTTGTTTTTAATATCAAAATTTTTCTGTATCCCTTTCCACCCCTGAGAGCCATCCCATAAACCTGCCATAGTTTAAATCCATCTTTAGGCAGGAGGTTGACCCTCCAATTATAGACACAAAGGAAGTAGCTATTTATAGATCTCTAGCTCCCAGTCCTAACATGTTGTGTATAATTGGTTGGGTTTGGAGTTCAGGGTTTTGTTTGTTTTTTTGTTTGTTTTGATAGGGAAAGGTTGGGGAAAAGACTCTACTTATCCTTCTGTTTTCTCTTACTCTAGATACAGGTTTCTTACTACCCTCCTGGGCAGTATCCCAACTCCAACCAGCAATACCGACCTCTTTCTCACCCGGTGGCCTACAGCCCCCAACGTGGTCAACAGCTGCCTCAGCCATCTCAGCAGCCTGGTAAGAGGAACTTCCTGTGTAGGAAACACCAGGTAGATAAAGGGAAGCTGGGAACGAGATGGATGCTGGGACAAGGATGGCCCTTTCTCCCTCCAAATGTGCCAGAGCCAAATGAGTCCAAAGGAGGCATCAGGCCCTTTGAGAAGATGAAGCAGTACAGAGCAGGGGAAGAGTTGCTGCCCAAAGTCAGGCACACTAACCCTAACCACCCCTTCTTCTTCTAGGGTTACAGCCCATAATGTCCAACCAGCAGCAGGCAGCTTACCAGGGCTTGATGGGTATCCAGCAGCCACAGAACCAAGGCCTTCTCAGCAACCAGAGGAGCAACATGGGGGGCCAGATGCAAGGCCTAGTGGTCCAGTATACTCCGCTACCTTCATACCAAGTGGGTATTACTCTGGGGAAGAGGAGGTACCTTATCTCCATTCCTCAGAGAGAAGTAAGAGACAGTCTTTCCCAGATCATCCATGCTTAGAACTTCCTCACTAGTATATTAAATATTCCTCAGCCCTTTCTACATCTTTCCTTCAAGCTAAAACCTGGTCTCCCCTAGATAGTCTGTTAGAGCTGATTTAAATCCTTTTTTGTCTTTTCATTGCATAGGTATCTACAAATTATTAGGTGTTCCCAAAAAGTAGGGCAGTGGACTTAAAAGAAACAAGGAGCTCTGCTTCTCTCTCCTCCTGGGTCAAGCATTCATGACACTTGGTGTCTGGGGGCAGGGTTGGGGATGGGGGAAGTGGAGAAGGTACCTTTCAGCATTTTCTGCCGACAGAAGAAGGGGTAGGTATTTCTAAGTTTATTGATGCTAAGGAGCAAGGAGGGGAAGATGTATTTGTAGTGTTTTGCTCTCCAAATGTGTCCAAAGAGAACAAAGGAGTTACAGTTAATCCCATCTCTCTCCAGGTTCCAGTGGGAAATGAGTCCCAAAATGTGGTCCAGCAGCCCTTTCAGCAACCTGTGCTGGTCCCTGCTAGCCAGTCAGTACAGGGGGGCTTACCAGCAGGGAGCATGCCTGTGTACTACAGTGTGATCCCACCAGCGCAGCAGAATGGCACCAGGTGGAAACCTTATGGGACAAATTGGGGGTGGGGTGGGGGGCTATCATGGAATTGGTCAGGGAATGGGGAATTCTTGAAAAGCATTCAGTCATCTCTTGTTTCTTTATATTTGTTGCGATCAAGAGGAAAGACCACACATGTGTAGAATCATCCTACATGCTCTACCTGGGTCCAAAAGTAGTAGACATGGTTGAGTACCATTCTCTGTATCATAGGCCTTACCAGCAGGAAAGATCATGGAATTAGGCCTCAGGTCTCCTAAACTTCCAGCTTTATGCCCTCTCGATATCTATCTGCATATATTTCTCTGTATCTCTAGATATTTGTATGTGTATCTCCATCTTTCTTTTGCTACAAATGACTAACTATCAAAGTAAGACAATACATCAGTAGACATGTCTGTATGTCTGCAGCTCTCTGCATCCTGATGTCTCTATGGTTTTATCGCTCCTTGCCCCTATGATTGGGTCTCTGAATGTGGTGTTTCCAAGCTTCTGGGAAGAGCATGTGTCACTAACATTCCATCTGTAGCACTGATTAGCAGCCTTCTAATTGAAAGATGATCAAGTACAAATATATATAATTAACTTTGAACTGATGAGTGATTCTAGAAATTGCATGGCAAATTGGTCTGGGGATAGCTTGGAGCTGCTGCTGCTTCCCATAGGGGGAGGATCAGGGAATAGCAGCTGTTTGCCAGGAGCTGTGTTCCCTCTCCCCTACCATTTTTCTCTCTTCTGTCTCTCCAGCCCTTCGGTAGGGTTTCTGCAGCCCCCTGGCTCTGAGCAGTACCAGATGCCTCAGTCTCCTTCCCCCTGCAGCCCGCCACAGATGCCACAACAGTACTCAGGTAAGAGGGTGAGGCTGTCAGGTAAGAGGATGGATGGGGAGCGAGGGAAAAGAGGTGTACCGGAGCCTTAGGCGACTGGGAGGGACAGAAGGCTCGTTTTAGAGGCAGTAGGAAGGAAGACTACTCAGGAATCCCATCACTGCAGTGGCCCCGGACCTAGGCAAGTGGGGTTGGCTTCCTAAGGCTGAGGTGTCAGGAGTCCTGTATCACATTGAGGGGTGTGAAGTGAAGATCAGCATCCAGGCCAGGAAACTCCCTCTTTGATTAGTTTCCATGTTTGACCCCTCTGAACCTTAATTTCTTCATCTAGAATATGAGATTAATACTTAAATTACCGTGCTTACAGTGAATAAAGTATAAACTATAATGAGTAATATGAATGTGAATTATGACTATTATTACTGTTACTCCAGTAGTGCTTTGGTATGAAAAGTGGGGCACAATCTTAGTTTACTCTTACCAAGTTGCCCTCCTATTCTAATACCTCTTGCCAAATGCTGTTCTCGTAGAAAGAAGAGACTTTTAAAATTGCTTACAAAGAAGTCCATTTCCAATCAGCTTCAGTAACAAATCCCCGCTCCCGGTCATGACTCCTTCCCCCAGGCACACCACGCCCCACCTGTATAGGAGCTATGGAAAATGAGAAAGGGGAAACATCCTATTCCCTGCTGGAATGCAGGGAACCATCCCCAGTGTTCAGTTCATGCCATGGTGGGCAGGCACGATCACGAATGGCAGCAAGGTGGTGCTGTGGATAGAATGCTAGACCTGGAATCAGAAAGATTTGAGTTCAAATCCCACCTTTCTAGCTGTGTGACCCTGGGCAAGTCACTTCACTGTTTTCTGCTTCCATTTCCTCATCTGTAGAATGGAATTAATAATAATAATAGCCACCCCTGCCAGGGTTGTGAGGGTATGAGATAATACTTGTAAAGCACTATATCAGTGTTAGCTATCAGGCAGTCTGTGGCCTACTCTGTGCAAAGATCGCCTCTCTTATGCTGAATAACTGAGCGTTGTTTTTTTCCTATTCTACCCTTCTATCTTCTGCTTCTGGAGAAAGGAAACTCAGTGCCTGCCTTCCTATTACATTTCATTTTAGGGATGTTAGAGTGCCCTCTTCTGGTGGTAGGGAAGCATCTTCACAGTTTCCCCATTTAGAATTGGGATGTTTTTCATAGTCTTGTCATCCCTGTCTCTATTGGAACCATTCTATAGTAATGCATTGCCTTCCTCCACCTGCACCTTGTCCAAATGAGCAGGGTTAGTTCCTGGGCTGAAATCTCAAATCCCCCAGTATTTTCCCCTTTTTCCATTTGTAGTCTCACTAGCTGTTTCTCCTGAGTGTCAGCCAGGGGCATTTGGCCTCAAATTTCCCAGTGGGGTTATGGAAATTGGAAAAACCTGCTCTGGGAGCCACTGTAGCCTGTGGTGGTTCTTGGAACCTCGGGGCATTTCTTCTCCTCTTTGCTAACATTTGTGTGTATGTATACTAACACTCAAATACTCATGCATGCCTGAATGTGTGTCCTCTTGTGTGCCTGTTAGCTATTGACGTGAAGGGGTGTGTGTGTGTGTGTGTTTTAGAGTTAGAAACAAAATCATTCCTCAGTCAAGTATTTCTGAGTGCTTGCTATATTATATACTCCTAGAACTGGACTAGTGAGTGGTATCAGGATAAGTCTAAGAGTTGGCAGAAAAAGGAGACTTTGATTAAGGTTCTTCCAGACTCAGCTTGACAAAAACAGATAACCCTTTGGAGGAATTGATAGGGGTGCCCCTTTAGTTCTCATAGGAATTCCTCAGTTGTGTCCTTTCCTTTCCCCACTTGCCTTGATTCTGGATTTCTGTTCACTTTGGCTGTTTACCAGATGGAAGAAGCTAGTCCGTCTGTACCTACCACACTTCCAGAGACCTGCATTGTGGGTCTGCTATAGGATACCACTGATAGCTATCTCCATAGCTATCTCCATTTATTTTTAAAACAATGAATTCTGAGCATGGAACTTGTGGAGCAAGTGGAATTACAGGCCCCGAAGTCATCTCCCTGCTCTTGGCCTCCTTGTTTCCTGAGTGTGGTAGTATGGTCACTTTTCAAAAAATAAAGTCAGAAACTGTGTATTTGAGTGTATTTGAAACTTCTATCCTGGTTTGTTAGAGATGTCAGAAATCTCAAATCATTTCATGACTTGGATCTTATAATCATCACCTCTTACCCCTTCCGCTGTCAGATATGAAAGTAACCTATAACCATGGAAATTTTCTCTGCTTTCCTTCCCTGAAAGATACCTTTGGAGGGATGTCTCTCCTCCTCTAGCACTGTAATTGTAGAGGGAGGTGTGTAGGCACATAGATACATAAACAGTATGACAACAGTGTGTTCATTCCACAACAGATAAACATGAGGAAGACACAAACACAAAAAAAAACACTCTCTCACATACTCTTACTTTGTTACCAAGAATTTTCCAAAGCTGTGGAGTGGGTAGATCACTACCATCCTCCTCAACATATGCACACCAAAAATAAGCAGATGGGGGAGGCCTGGTCAGTATTGGTCTGGAGAGAGCCTCTGGGTCCAAGCAGGTTACATGGCATTCTCTGCTATGAGCTTGGTGTCTGGGGAAACCTTTGAGTCTCAAGGCTTTGCCATCTTAGTGATTTCTTTTTCGAACCAATTTCACCAAACATAAACGTCGTCTGTTTGTATTTATGCAGCTTGCTCTGCCCCATCGACCTTCCTGCCTGAGTTTAATGATGCCACTTAAAAAGCCATTCACATGTCCTCTCTCCTATCAGGGCTTTCAATCTGAAATTGATTTCCTTATCCTCACCCCCCCCCACACACACAAACACAGAGCTTCCCCAAGACCCCTTCTTCCAACTTGATTAGATCCTGAAGCTTGGCGGTAGGGGTTTTATTTTTTTTTTTATTGCTGTGTCCATTAAGAAGTAGCGACAGTTCAGCTGCTAACGGATGCCACCTGCTTTTGGCTTGAGGAGGGGAAGCATAAAAATCAGCTCATCAGCAGAGCTGGCCTCTGTGTCCTCGGCTGAGTGAAGGAACAATGCTTGGGGCTAGCAAGGGAGGGCTGTGGGTGGGGGTGGGGGGAAACACAGGACAGAGGCAGCGACTGAAAAGCTCGACTTTGTTTTTCTGGGAGATCAGGTGTGATATGTGTCTGTCTTCTCCCTTCACGACAATCTCCTGCCTTCAAGTTGGTTGTGGGAAGAGCTGACCTCCATGTACTTTTTCTCCCACCTTAAGAAAGCCAGACACACATACACACAGTCTCTGTCTCTGTCTCTGTCTCTGTCTCTGTCTCTCTCTCTCTCTCTCTGTCTCTCTCTCTCTCTCTCTCTCTGTCTCTGTGTCTCTGTCTCTGTCTCTCTCTCATTTGGCCTGGGGCGTTCAGCACAGATTATGAGCCGTCCTCCCAGAAAAGCCATAAATGTGATTCTTTGCCCTGGCACCTAAGGTAGCAGTGGGATGTTTGAATAAGGTCAATTGCAATTTTGTTGACAGGTGGAGGGTGAGGAAAAGAGAGTTTAGAATGGGATGTGAAATACCTAAAGCTACTGTGACAAGGAGGTAGTCATTATATGTACCACATCAGGCAATTCCATTTTTTCTCAAAACTGACCCCCTCTAAATCAGACAGATGGGTTTCCCTGTGTAGGAATCTAGGGGAGACACAAATTCATCACTGAGTAGTTTGGCTTTTTGTTTAGGTGAGCCCAGGAGGGTAGGGAGCATATTGGATCTTCGTTGCTATATCTCCTGAGCTTTTCTGCTTGGCTCCCCTCCATTCCTTTTCTTTTCTGTTTGGTTAAAACTACCCAAGAAACTATCACATTCCCTTCACAGCATGACTGGTGCCCGGGGCAGAGGCTTCGACAGTTTCCGTCATGGAGAAAGATGTGATGGCAAAAGCAGCAGCAGGCCCCAGAGCACTGAGCCATGATAATGGCAGTCTTATAACTCCTTTTTACTCCCTTCTTATCCTTCCCCCTCCCAGTAGCAGCCCCCCACCCCAACACACACACACACACACACACCACACACACACATGCACACACACGCGCACACACGTCCATCATGCCAGAGGGAGCAGGCCCTGAGAGGTCAGGGACAAGCCATTGCCCAGGATGGTCTCCTGGTAGGGGGCTGGGCTCCTGTAGATCCCTTGGCCATCCATAGCAGCAGAGCCTGTCTGTCAGGCAGCCCCTCCCCTCTTTCGGGCTTCAGCCATGGTAGGAATTATGAACCGTTCTTCATGTTCCTCCTCACTATATCAACCCCCTTCACCCCCCCAAGATAATAAAGCCCCTGAACTGCTTGAGATTCCATCTTTTAAAAAAAGAAAACAAAATAAGATGCATCTGCCTTGGGGATGCCATATTCGTACAACCCCTTTGCTATTTCCAGAGACCACTGACCAATAACAGGTACGTTTTTTGGGCAAGGCATTGTGTTAGACACTGTGAGATATACAAAAAAGGGGTGCCCTTACTGAGTTTCTAGTCAAATAGAAGCAGTGACTGTTTTGACAAAATGTCAAAGCAGCTGAAAATTCAGAGTGGGGAGAATTATTTCCGGTTGGTGTCTTTGGACATTTTCAGAGTTCCTGAAGGCCCCGACAGTGTCCACCATCCTGACACCATGCTGCCCTTTGAGTCTGGAACACTGTGACTCAGACACTCCTATCACTCTGCTGTGTTTCAGTGGAGCCTTTCTCTCCTTGGACTACTGAAGTGCTCCTCATCAGCACAGGTTCAGCATCTGGAAAGAAGGAGGGTTTCAGAAACAGTCAGCCTTACCTTACGTCTCCCAGCAGAACAGTAGATGAGTTACCCTGGAGCTGGTAGACGGCTCTCTTCAATGGTTTTGTCACATGGTGCTCAGCTAGGAGGGCCAGTCAAGAGCTTATGCTCAGTAGTCCATTGCTTTCCTCATCTCAGGAGTGTCCCCGTCTGGACCAGGTGTGGTAGTCATGCAGCTGAATGTCCCCAGTGTTCCCAATGGTTCCCAGGCCCCACAGACCCCATCTATGGTTCAGTGGAGTCATTGTAAGTACTACAGTATGGACCAGCGGGGGCAGAAGCCGGGAGACCTGTACAACCCTGAGAGCAGTCCACAGGTGAGCTCCCAGCCTAGCCTCGTGGGGGAGGGAGGCTGGGGCGCCTGAGCCGGTGGTGGGACCCATTAGCACGTGGGGGCAGCCATGAAGGGGAGGTCGGGCATAAGCACTTTAAAAGCAACTTCTGGCATCTCCACCATAAAGGCACAAAACCCTGGTGGACCTAAGGACCAGTTGTATATTTTAACATTTTGTTCCTGTGAAACTAAGTACAGCAGCCCAGCACAGTATAAGAGCTTGGGTTGGAGTCACAAGTCCTCGATTCAGATCCCTGCTGTACTGCTCTATGCTGTCTATATAACCTCAAACCAATCACCCTTTCTGGGCCTCAGTTTCTTCATCTGACAAAATAAAGTTTGGACCAGATGACTTTTAAGTATGTGGGTCTATGACAATTTCAACGAAAATGTTTTCATGAGATCACTTAATAACATTAGGCGGGATGTGCTTATATCAACCCGTAGAAATTAACGTAACCGAAATCGATTGCCTGAATGCTTAGGAGTTATAGAGTAGAATCATATTCAGACTTGGGTAGGTGGGGTTAGATAGGAAATCTTTTTGGAGGTGTTTTGAGCCAGTCCTAGAAGCAGGGTTTGATTTTTGACCAGTGTATAACATGCTTTTCTTTTCCCTACAGGCCAACACACAGATGAATAGCCCTATCACATCACCCGCTCAGTCTCCAACACCATCTCCTGTCACCAGCCTCAGCAGCGTCTGCACAGGACTTAGCCCTCTTCCTGTCCTTACACAGTTCCCCCGGCCTGTTGGCCCTGCCCAGGGTAAGGACAGGAACAGGGTGCCTAATTCAGTTCTCATTTTCACCTTGCTCATAGGGTATGAGGTAGGAGGCAGCATCTGGTGGAAAGAGAACTGGGTTTGGAGTCAGAGGAAGGGAGTTTGAATCTCAGCATTGCTTCTTACCACCAGTAGGACTTTGGGCAGGTCGCTTATTTTTTGCACCTTGGTTTCCTTATCTATAAAATGAGGGCAGTGAATTTAGAGATCCCTTCCAGCTCCAAATCTCTGATCCTGGGATAATAGCATTGCCATGTAGACCTGGAACTTACCCTGGGCCTAGTGCTTCTTTTCCTCTTCACTTCCCCCCTCTGCTCCCATTTAATTCACCTTGACCCTGACACAGAGGGTTCCTTAGAGTTACTTAGATTTCCTGGAGCTAAGAGTTCCTAAGAGAACTCAGAGTTCCTGTAGCTACTCAGTGCCTAGTCATCAGCATGTACTATGGGGTCATTGGCTGAAGGATGGGATAAGGAAGCTTAATGGACTTGGGAACAACAAAAAAATACATTTTCCCTGGGGATGTGAAGAATGTTACCCTCTCATTTCTCAGACTGTCATTCTGACCTACATGGACTAGAAGAATGTACCCCACAAGGAGTTTATGTAAGGGAAGGGATACAGAGGGGATTGGTGATGTCTCCTTTACAGCTCAGTTTCTTTCCTGGGCTCTTTTACCTTCCCCCTCTCCCAATAAAGAGAATTCTTCTAGTGGAGAGTCAGTTGATTCCATGTTAGTTACCATGGATTCTCAGTGGAATACCATTGAGAACAGAGAGAATTTGGAGGGAATGGCTGGCTCTAAAAATCAGGCTCCTGTGGGGTCGGTATTGCTGGCACCTGCTTTTTCCAAATCCTTTGAATTCCCCTGGAAGCACACACCAGATATTACCCTCCCTCCTTTAAACCTCCAGAAAACTTGCTTTTCCTACCCTCCAGGCGATGGGCGCTACTCCCTCCTGGGCCAGCCATTACAGTACAACCTGTCCATCTGTCCTCCCCTGCTCCATGGCCAGTCGACTTACACAGCACACCAGGTAAGTGTGCTTCTCTCCCCTATGCCCTTCCACTCTCTTTTATGGTCCTTGATGTTTCCTGTTCAGGTGCTTTGCTCCTAGTTACCAGCCTCTGCCAGCTTATCTGTAGTCAAGGTCGACAATTTTGGATGGGATCTTTGGAGTTGGGCTGATTTGGGGGAATAGAAGGGCCTTGACGAGTGATCACCTACATGCTGCCTACTCTAATCCTCAACTCTCCACTTCTCAGGAATTACTACTTGACCAGTCTAACTTAACCGCTAAGGTTCATGGAAGGTCCTCAGAGTTGGGTTATTATTCTTTTGACCCCTTTCAGTGGCGCAGAAAACACTGGGAGGGTAAGGAAACAGCTCCTTACCTGAAATGTAAGTGGGTTATTTAATGTTGAAGGGACAGACTGGAATGAAGCATGGAAACCGGGGGAAGAGGCAAGCGCTCAAATCTGCCTCCACGGACCTGGGGACTGCAGATGTTGGTGAGTGTCTGTGTGCTGGGAAAGGGCGCCCTAGCCACCCCAAGCATTCTTGCAAGCCCAATGAGGGGGAATAGACTCCAGTAGCAAGGGAGGTAGGAGGGCAACGTCTATAGTGGTGGTAACCTTCTGTGCCCAGGGTCAAGGGGGAGACAAAGGAGAGATGGAATGTCTTGGTTTCCCTCTTTACCTAGCTGCCCCAGCTGCCAGGAAAGGTGCTGGTATTGGCCAAGGCTAATGTTAGCAAAAAAATCTTCTGAGGTACAACCTTGCCCACACCTTTGGATAGTAAGGAGGCTGGAGGTGGGGAAAAATCAGTGGGGAGTTTTGCAGAATGGTTTACCCCTTCCTTTGAGGTATACAAGATCTTTCAGGATTTAGGGCCTGGTTTCCCCACTTGGAGCAGTTTGGCAGATTTATGAAGGGAACCAAGCATCCAAGGTGTTGGGAAGAAAAATCTTTTGAAAACAGTTCCCTGGGCAGGGCAAGGAGAATTCTGTCCAGCAGATTAAAGGTTGAAAACCTATCTGTTGATATCATCCTTTAACAACAACTAGTGCATGTTGACATGTATAGACTGTCTGTCTCTATCCCAAATAGCCCAAGATTGTCATAAATAAATTTAAAAAGAAACACTAGTATACATAAGCTTCCCTCAAGACAGGGTCACCCAAGAAAAGGCATAGGATCCCAGGCCAGTCCATACCTAGTTAATCTTGATGATCCTTTTGTCTCACACATATCTGAGAGGAAAAGGTTAATTTGTTTTTATTTATTTTATTTATTTACTTATTTTTGCTGCCCTAAGTCAGAGGCTGGGGAGAGAGGATGAAGTGAAGGTGGGAGGGTAGATAGGGAGGTTGGGTGGGAATAGAGATGGGGGGAGGTGGGACTTCTAGGAACAGTGCGTATGGACTTGGTCAGTTGGATCCTTCTCTGCCAGGACACTGTCCAGTCCCCGCCTCCTCCTGCCCCCTCCGCCCCTCACAGCCACATCCTCTCTCCCCCTTCCAGTCCTGGGGCGGGTGTTGGAGGTGACAGATCTCCCTGAGGGCATCACCCGCACAGAGGCCGACAAACTCTTCACGCAGCTCGCCATGTCCGGCGCCAAGATCCAGTGGCTCAAGGACGCTCAGGGGCTGCCAGGCGGCGGGGGCGGGGGCAGTGGGGGGGGTGGGGGGGACAACAACGGGACTGCCGAGAATGGCCGGCACACAGACCTCGCTGCCTTATACACCATCGTGGCTGTGTTCCCCAGCCCCCTGGCGGCCCAGAATGCCTCCCTCCGCCTCAACAACTCCGTGAGTCGCTTCAAACTTCGAGTGGCCAAAAAGAACTATGACCTGAGGATCCTGGAGCGGGCCAGCTCCCAGTAGGCAGAGGAGGGGAAGAGGCCAGCACCATGGGTTGGGGCAGGGTGGCATGGGCAAGGGATGCAGAAAAAGCACAGATAGAGATGCTGTTCCAGACAGACATGAAACATACATGGAGCTAGGGAGCCGAGACATAGAAATGGAGACTGAGGCCTTAGAGACAGTGAGACAGGCGCGCGCACGCACGCACTGGACTCAGTCTGGGGTTTTCTTTGCCACCTTTTCCCTCTCTTTCTCTGGGTGGCTCCTCTCCTCTCTGCCTCCCTCTCCCTCCAATCCTCTCCCTCCTTTTTTGGACATCCCTTTTTCCCCATCCTGGCTCCCAATGCATTTCTTTCATTTTTGTGGGTTGGTATGGAGGGGTCCTACACTCCCCCATTCCTCCCCTTCTCCTGCTACCCTATCTCCTCTTCCTCTTTTTGGTCTTTATGAATATATTTATATGGACAGAATTAAGAAGAAAAAAATAAATTGATTTTCCCCCTCCTTTCACTTTACCCCCATCTTGTCTCCCCTATCCCATGAGTTAAAACCTGTGCCTACCCCTCCTCTATCCACCCCAGCCCCCCAGAACACTTGTATATTGTTTGTTTGAGGTTCGTGCCGCAGTAACAGACAACAGTATTTAATTGCACATACAGATGTTTGCTGGGTATGTTCACTGTAAATTTTATTTAATCTGGGTTTTTTTGTTTGTTTTGGGGGGTTGTTTGGGGGGTTTTATTTTATTTTATTTTTGTTTTGTTTTTAAATATAAAAAAAAAAATCATCTGTCACTGGACGTCAGTCCTGGTTTCTCTATTACTGCCCTTGGGAGGGGGTTGCAGGGAAGGATTTGGGATAGAGTGGAGTGGGGCTGCCTTCCAGATGGATGTGATCCTGCCACCCTCTTTCAGTCTCCCCTCAATCCTCCACCTGTTCCTGTAGGTGGCTGAACCTTCGGCTTCAAGGCCCCGACAGGGCAGGTATGGAGTGAGGACGTGAACAAAGCTGAGTTTCTGGCCCAGCCCTCATCTGCCATTTTCCCCTGAAGTCTTTTTTAATTCTATGCTGGCAGGTAATAGGGGAGTAAGTGTTCCCTGCAATAAAAGCTGCATTTGCAGAATCTGCAGTATTTTGACTCCCTCAATCAACCAGGATAGTCTCAGCATCCCCTTTCCTACATACAGGAGATAGAAAAATCCTATCTGACAAATTAGCCCTATGCTATATCCCCAGGTACCCCTCTTTTGGCCCCTGTGCTTCTCAGTAAATCTCACTCTCCTCAGGTTGCCCTCGGTTCTAAGATGTCTAAGAACCCCGATGCGTAGATGTAGATCCACCTTCAAGTCCATCCTACACAAAACCTCACTGCCCAGAAACTTAGTGGTGATTGTCCTGGACCTCATGTAGGAGGGAATAGAAATGGGTTGAAGAGCCTGAGCATATGTTGAGTCAGGAATTTCACTTGACACTGGGTAACTTCTCTATTGGATTTTTTTCGGACCCCTCCTCCAGTCTAATCCAGCTGTTAGAGGGTCTTCATACTTGGATATGTTGGAATTGGTGAGGCAATATGTTGTCATTAACAACTTGTTCTCTGCTGTGGTAGGAGTATCTCCCCATCAATCTATACCCAAACTAATAGAAGAAGGATGGCTTGGTGCCGTGGAAAGAGCCCTGGACTTGAAGTCAGAGGCCCTGGGTTAGAATCCCATCTTTGCTAGCTCTGTTACTACCTAGGTGACCTTGGGCAAGTCATAAGGTCTCTTGGTATCCATGACCTCATCTGTAAAATGAAGGGGTCAAACTAGATGACTTTCAGGTCTCTTCCAGTTTTAGAAATCTGTTACCCTGCGATCCTGTGGAATTCACTTCAAGTACAAATTGGCCATATTTGTTAAGTCTACCTTCTGGGGCATTCTGGTGTAGGGGAGGGGGAATCAGAATGTTGATAAACATCAGAGAGAGAGGGAATGGGAGGGCAGACTTGCCCCTAGAGTCTTCTTGACTCACATGGTGGGAGGGGCAGGAAATAGAGGTCCAGTGATACAGTAGTTATGATGACATTTTCTTAAGTAGCTGAAACCATCTCTCCATTGCTATTTGTTATAAACAAGCAGACATCTCCTCCTCTCCCCGCCCCCCATCCCTTTTGTCTGGTCATTAGGTTGTTGATATTCTTAGTTCCTTTTCCATGTGTGGATCCCAAACCACTTTCAGTGAGCCAATCACATTCAGTCTCCCTGACAGCATAGTTGGGGTGGAAAGTTGAGTGGAATGTCCAGAGATGATTCAAGAAATAGGGACCATATTAGATTGTCCAATTCTTTGCAAGACAGGTAAGCTATCCCCTTCCCCTCACCAGGGATGAGGAAGCAGCCATGTCTGGTTGAGAAGTAACCCTGCAGAACTTGAATTGTCTTTCTCTATCCCTCTCCCCAGTTCTCAGCCTAGAATTACACCTGCCTGAAGTGTTCATAAAGAGACAAAAAGCCACAAAATTCAAAGTGTAGGTGTCATATAAAGATTGGGGAAGGATAATAATAGGTGGAGTTGAAGCCGGTAGCCTGTGACTTCTAAGGGTGGGTCTGGAATAGACAGAAATGAGGGTAGTATCTAGTTTTCAAAGTGGAGGAGGGGCACATTGTAGCCTTTCTTTACTCCAATCAACCTTCCAAAATCCCCTCTAAAGGGGCACAAAATATGAGTGTAATTGCCCTGTAAGTGTTTAGCTACTACTATACTGAACATAGGTGAAGGGGTGGGGATAAGGCAGCTGTTATCTCAGCCAGTTGTGGCTAAAGAGATTTGGGAGAGGGAGGGCAGGGTCCAACACTGCCCCAGGCCTTTTAGTTTCCAATTTCTCTGTGTCAGCTGTGTTGCTCAGCTGTCCACTCTCTTCTAGCCCTGTCACTTTAGCTGTGACGCTGAAGGGAGAGGCTAGGTCTGCACACACCAGCTGGGGAGACGTGAGCACCACGGGTATTTTGGGGGTATAAAGCCCCCCAGGCAAGAGGACAGAGCCTTCTTTTTCCATTCCCAACACCACCACCAAGCCTCCTAACCTGGCATCCTCTTTCCTCCACTGGCTGTGGACTGACGTAGGGAATCCCAAACGTAAGTTGCCTTTTCCTACTAGTTACCAGACAGTAGCTGCTTGGGCTCCCACACCCCTCAGTCAGTTCGCTTCTCCCATTTGCCTCACCTGTCTGTTAAGTAGTTTGGGGTGTTTCAGTCATTTCTTACCCTGAAGAAAGGGTCGGGATCAGGAAGGAGGTTGGGGAGTTAATGTCCAGGGAATAGAGTAGTAGAGAAGGGAGGTCATATTACATTGAAAACTTAAAAATAGCCAACCCCCAAGGCAGGCTGGGACAGGGCCTGACCTGGAGGTAGTGTTAAAAACCCACTCCCACCCCTAGGCTTGGAGAAATGAGGGGAGCTGGAATCCTCTACCTCTGTACTCCAAAGTGAGAGTTTTCGGTGAGGGGGGAAAGGTTATATGGGGTCATATATAACTGCCTGTAGCCTTGAAGAAAAGAGAAAGCCTCTAAGAGTCTCCAACCCACCCCAAAATGAGAAGTCTGTCTTGATGGAACTTCTACAAGGGAATGGAGGTAGTCTTTTGTGTAGGCTGTCTTCTGTAGGCCTGCCTTAGTCATCTCCCAGACTGGACCCTTTTATGGAGTCCCCTTGTTCAGGCTCCTTTGTTTAGTCTCTCATTCTGGAAGAGGGGGATAGAGACCCTCTTTGTGTGAGTCTCAGCTTAAGAGACCTGCAGTTCTCTTCCCAAAGCTCTATTTGTCCTACCCTACAAGGTGAGTCCCTAGGAGTAAGAAAGGGAGGGGGGAGGGGAGGCAAGGAAGGATGAAGAGTCTACAGTGGCAACCCCGATCTTGCAGGATGACAGAAAAAGAGGTTCTGGATTCTCCCACATCCTTCACAGCAGAAGCACCAAAGAGTGGGGTGAGTCTGAGCCTCTGACACAGGGCCTGTTACAGCCTTCTGGGAAGAGTACCTGAATTGATGGCTACAGAACCAGGGGCTGTGGGGCCCCTCTCAGTTACATGTAGTTTATGTAAGGTACAGTCGTGTCCCCCCCACCACCACACACACTCACACACTCTCCCTCATCCCTGTAGGGAATATCCTGTCCCTTGACCCAGAACATTTCCCAGGTGGTTTTAACCTAACATAGTGGAGCTGTTGTCTGAATCTTCCCTCCGCTCCTCCCTAGCTACAAAGGCTGAAGCAATTATTCAGGAAGGAGACTGTAGAAAAAAAGGAGATGGAGCTCCCCCCTGAGCCCCAGGCCAATGGGGAAGCAGTAGGGGCTCAAGGGGGACCCATCTACTACATCTATGAGGAGGAAGAAGAGGAAGAAGAGGAGGAAGAGAAGGAGCCACCCCCTGAACCCCCTAAGCCTGTCAATGACAAGCCCCACAAGTTCAAAGATCATTTCTTCAAGAAGCCCAAATTCTGTGATGTCTGTGCCAGAATGATTGTTCGTGAGTCTGGAAAATGGAGGGAGATGGGACTGTGGGGTGAAGGGACTGGGAGAGAGATCAATACCGCACAAATTTAGATGGAGGTGGGGATTGTTGATGGATGTAGTAGAGAAGCCTGGATGGGCGGTCTAAGAAATGAAAGAAGGGTGATTCTGGCAGCACAGGAGTAGAAAAAGATTTCGTGATCCTACCCAGATGTTCTTTCCCTCTACCAAGTTAACAACAAATTTGGGCTACGATGCAAGAACTGCAAAACCAATATCCATGAACACTGCCAGTCCTTCGTGGAGATGCAGAAATGCTTTGGCAAGATAGTGAGTTAGGCCTGGGAGCAACCGGGGGCGGCAGGGGGAGGGGGAGGCCGGGCCTGTGTGTGTGGAGGGTAGTGTTGAGGATAGCCGTACCCTGGATGGACACTTCAGGAGTTATCCTCCATCGTTCCTTGGTACCTGCTTCCCCAGTCCCACTCTTATAGGACAGGACCTCTCTGAATAGAGGAGGAAGGCTCCCAGTTGCAGAGATGGGGCTCTTGGATCCAGAGCCCTGTCTCCTTGTCTCAGTCACCTTCCTGTCTTCCCCATAGCCCCCTGGTTTCCGCCGCGCCTACAGTTCTCCACTTTATAGCGACCAGCAGTATGCTTGTGTCAAGGACCTCCTCTGTAAGTTCCCTTCACTCCACCAAAACTGGGTTGCAGTAGTTGTGATTGAGGGAAATAGGCCAGGGGATTCTTTCTGCAATCTGGAAGCCTCTTGGTCACCATGACTTTGCCACTCCTGACTTGGGAAACTGAAACTTAAGGCTTTGAAGTCTGTTGGTGCCCGAGTTCTAGACACCCTGGTTTTATTCTCATCTTGAAATTTTTAGCCACTCCAGCTTGTAAGCTCCTGGAAGGAATCCACACCTATGTTGACTAATAGCCCTGTTGCTTCTAGGCTTGTCTCCCGGAGTTCTAAGTAGAAACTAAGGCTTCTCATCTCCACCCCCACCCCTGCATCCTCTTAGATTCTCAGACTTTGTTCTTCCTCACCTGTATCCACTCAGTCCTACTGTCTTCTACAAAGGAAGACCCTCTCTTCCTATAAGCCCTTTGTTAACATCAGTAATGTTTCCTTCTCTTTCCTATGCCCCATGTACTCCTAGCCAACCGAAATGACCCTGTTTTTGAAACACTTCGAACTGGAGTGATCATGGCAAACAAAGAGCGGAAGAAGGGACAAACAGACAAGAAGAATGTGAGCCCCTTCTGCCCCTTTCACGATTGAACCCTCCCCCTCCCCCAAGAGACCTTGAGACCTCCAAAGATTATCCTTAAGAATATCATCATTCCCAGGAACGCCTAATAATAATAATAACAGCTAGCATTTCTATAGCGCTTTAACGTTTTCAAAACCCTTTATAAATCTCATTTTATCCCCACAACATTCCTGGAAGGTAGGTGATAGATAGTGTTACCATCCCAGTTTTAAAGATGAAGAAACAAGGGCAGGCAAAGGTTAAGAGACTTGCCAGGGTCACATAGCTAAGTAAGTTTCTGAGGTCACGTTTGACCTTAGATTTTCCTGACTATGCTGCCAGGCTATTCTAGATTCTCCAGATTATCACTTAGAACTACCCTGGGGGACTCAAACCACCTCTGGGACTCCAGTTGAGGGGAAAGAGGACAGTTGTTAGGCGTTATGGTGAGGTTATCAGGTAGGATGCTTTTAAGAAGAGGGAAATTCATTCCTGCCAAACCAGCCTTTCTGATAAAGTCACTGGACTAATAGATCAGGAAAATGTTAGTTGTGCCTTGACTTCAGCAGAGCATTGCTGAGTGCTCTAAAAAGCATACTCTGAAGTGCCCAGGTGCTCTGTCTTAGGCCTTGCCCTGAACAACACGTTTATCAAGTTTGTGGATGCCATGAAACAGGGACAGATAACTAATATGCTAGCTGACAGAATTACAATTTAAAGGCATCTTTTAGAACTGAAAAGATAAGCAGAAACTAACAAGATGAAACCTAATAGGAATAAATGTACCTTGAGTTACCTCTTTTACATTACCTTGGTCCTGTTCCTTTCCTATTTTGCCTCATTCGAAGGTTCCATGGAAAAGGAGAGGCCATACAAGAAGAGATTTTTGTATCAGAGCCTAAATGAGCCAAGTGCACATTTTGTCAAGTGGAAGTTAGGTGGTGAAGTGAATTGGACCTGGTAGCCCTGAGTTCAAATCCTGGCTCAGATACTGTAACCCTGGTGAAATCACTTACCCTCCCAGGCTCAGTTCCCTCATCTGTAAAATGGGGCTAATAATAGCACTTACCTCACAGGTTTGTTTTGAAGATAAAATGTGTTAACACATAAAGCCCTTTGCAGACCTTAAAGTACTATATAAATGCTAGCTACTATTATTAAGGGGACTTGAAGCCATTTCATATGAGGAGCAATTGTTCAGAAAGGACAGGGCCTAATTAACTGACGCATAATCACTGTCCTCAGATGTCCAAGTGACTGTTATATGGAAGATGGACTTGTTCTACCTAGTTCCAGAAGACAGAACTAGAATTGTGAATGAATGAAAAGCATTTATTAAGTATTTACTATGTGTCAGGCATTGTGCTAAGTGCAGTATAAAATTGAGACAGTCCCTGCACTCAAGTAGTTTATATTCTAATTAGGGAGACAACACATTTAGGGGGACGGTGGTCGGGAAAGGGAGTTACGGTTCTGGAAGTCACAAAGATGGTTAATAGAACAACAGGGCAGGTGGATAACGCCCTTTCCAGAGGCTATGGTGGTAATGATTTGATTACAGTTCTCAGAGAAAGAGGTGGAAGGGCACAAATGACCAGGGTGAAGATGAAGATGCACAGCCACTTCACTGGCCGTCTGACCTGGTTCCTCCCAGGCATGACCCTTGGTCAGGTTTGGAGAATGGAACGAGAGTAGCAATAGCAACTTTAGTTCATCTCACATTTGTTAATGGGTGCCAAAAGCCCAGTGTCCACTGGGAATACAAAAATGGAAAATGACCTGGTCCCTGCCCTCCAGAAGCTAACATTTCTATACTAGGGAGCAAACAAACATGCAAGCAGATAGGCAGAAAAAGGCCTGCTCATGGGAGTGATATGATCAGATCTGTAAATTAGAATGTATGTTGTTCTCTGTCTTAGGGAGTTGCAGGGAAGGAGATTTTGGCTCATTAGTAGAAAAAACTTTTCAACAATTAGAAGCTGTCCACATTCGAATGGGCTGCCCTCACAAAATAACTTTGTGATTGGAAATACTAAAGGACAGATTGAATATCCTGTTGAGGTTGTAGAGATTTCTGCATTGGATAGGACATTGCACTGGATGGCCTCTCAACTTTCCCCCAAACCTGGGTTTTAGGTTAAGGACAAAGGGAAGGGTCTGACTCCCTTCATCCACTCCTTAACTCTGGGGCTCTCTTCCTTTAGCCCCTAGCAGCCATGATGGAGGAGGAGCCAGAAGCCCCCAAAACTGAGGAAGGAAAACCCCAGGCTGGTGAGTAAAACCCTGCCTCTCATGAGCAGGGATGGGGTAATAACTGGACCAGGTTGTGGGTACCGTACGTAAGAAAAGGGGCAGCCAAGCAGAGGTGGAAGAGATACTTAAGTTAGCAATAAAGTTGGAAGGGTGATGCTCCCCTGGATTCAAGATGTCTGTCCCCAACTTCAGGAAATACAGAGGGAGACAAGAAGACTGACAAAAAGACAGCTGAGGATAAAGTAAGGATTTTTCTCCATCTCTTCTCAACTAGCCCTGCTGTCCTCCCAAGTGCTCTCTTACCCCTCATTCCTCCCACCCCATCCATAATGATTAGTCCGTACCTACTAGCTCGATGGTGACACTCCCTAATTATCCCCACTTACATCCTGCCCCCACTCTCTGACATTCATAACTCCCAAGACTGGAGGCTTTGTGATAAGTTAAAATGTTAACAGCTTTGTTGGGGGATATCCCTGGTTTGGAGTCATTATTTGTATTAAAATAGCCCTGGATTCAATAGGATTAAAATTCATTACATCATTCTGTCCTGTGTTCCCCAGAACAAGCAGCCCGGATTCCAGCAGTCTCACTACTTTGTGGCCCTCTATCGGTTCAAGGCTTTGGAAAAGGATGATCTGGACTTCCCGTGAGGGCAAAGGAGGGGAGAGAGAAAACAGTAGATATTTATTTGCAAGGGAGGAGGGGGAGGTCAGGGGTGGGATTCAGTCATCATCATCCCAAACCTGCAAGGTGTAGCTTTTGGGATGGAGGACAAAAGAATGTCTTTTTGGGTGCCGTGTATTTAAGTGGAAGACTTCCTTATCTTACAATCTTTTCTGGTCTATTCTAGACCTGGAGAGAAGATCACAGTCATCGATGACTCTAATGAGGAGTGGTGGCGGGTGAGAGAGGGGACAGAGACTGGCCTAGAGTTACGTAGGGTGGGGCTGTTGTGACTTTCCATCTCTTACCCATTTCCAGGGGTTATGGATCAGGACCTGACCCATCCACCCCCCTTCCCACTGCTTCTTATCCTTCTCCTCAGGGCAAGATCGGGGAGAAGATTGGATTTTTTCCCCAAAACTTCATCATCCGAGTCAGGGCTGGTGAGCGTGTGCACAGGGTGACCCGATCCTTTGTGGGAAACCGTGAAATTGGGCAGATAACGCTCAAGAAGGACCAGGTGACCCTCCCTTAATCCAACTACTACCATCCTATCCTTTCTCCACCAATTGCCTGTTAGCCCAGAACCCTTCCAATCTGGCAGTCCCAACCCCTGAAGTATCTTGTCCCTGTTCCTAATCCCAAATCCTAATCCCCTTCTCTGTCCCTCCTCCAGATTGTGGTGCAGAAAGGGGACGAAGCTGGTGGCTATGTCAAAGTCTACACTGGTCGAAAGGTGGGGCTATTTCCCACTGACTTCCTGGAGGAAATTTAGGGGTGCAGGTGCCCCAATCAATCCAGGCTCATATTATTCAGTGTCTACTATGTACTAGGCACTGTGTGATTTACAAAGACAAAAACAAAACAATCTCTGCCCTAAAGGAGTTTACATTCTCTTTAGGAGAGAACACTATCTTACTCCACTTTGGGCTGAATTGTGGGGAGGGGTGGCAGTTAGGGCAGCTCAGTTCTAGCTGAGGTTATATTCTAAGAGGGCTGGTTCCCCCTTAAACTTACCTCCCTAGTGTGAAACTTGCCGTACTGGGCATACAGGGACACCTGCCCCTCAACGAGAACACTCTCCCTACTTCTTCCCTGAACTTGCACACGTGTGGCCATTGATGTTGGGGAGGAGCAGGAAAGGCCTCCTTTAGATCTTCATAGGTTGTGGGGGGGAGCCCAGGAGACTAAGTTGTAGGCAGAGCCCCTTAGCTCATTAAACTTTTGTGGGAAAAGGGTTGGAAAACATTTGTTTCTTTAAATTTAGGATCGTTTTTCTCTTTTTTAAATCTTTGTTACAAGGCAAGACTTGCCTGAAAGGGGGGATAGGAATCTATTCAGAAATGAAGTTGTTGTAAAAACAAGAAATCAATTAAAAACAATTTTCAAAAATTTGAACTGGCAGCTTAAAAAATAAATTTGAGAATAAAAAAAAAACTACTGAACAGCTATCCTAGCTTTATTCTAGGTGACTGGATAGGGAATAAAGACAAGCATCAGGCAGGGTCTCTGCCCTCCCAGGCAGTCCAGTCCAGCAGGAGATTAAAAAGTTAAATAATGCTTCAGAGTTGGCCACATGAGTGAATGCATCATGGTTTTTGTTTTTTGTTTTTTTTTAATTGGGAGGTAGTATAGGGGATTGGGGGCGTTGTAGCTAAGTAACCCGCTTCCCCAGAGCCAAGGAGGCCAGCAGGACCGGAGTGTGAGCGAAGGGGGGAAAGGGCCCCAGGTCGTGCGATTTAGGGGTTTCACAGACACACTAGCGGGGTAGTGTTAGGGGTCTGCCCAGCCCCTCATGTCACCCGGGGCTTAGGCCCAGGAGAGGCCGCCAGGGGGAGGTAGAAGATCTCAGAAGGCGAGAGAGTGAGAGAGTGGGGGGGGGGAGTGGAGAGGGAGACATACTGTACAGAAACCCCGGGTGGGTGTGAGTGTGTGTATGTGTGTAAGGGGGGGGTGGGAAATGCTGTTTCCATAGCAACAGCAACGTGCGTCCTGAGAGAAGAACGGAGCTTGTCCGGGGGCAGATGGAGGGCGAATTTGGGGGTGGGGGAGCGGGGGCCTCTCCTGCTTCCCACCCCGAAAGCTTCCCGGACAGGGAAAGGGGTGGGTGTGAGTGTGTGTGTGTACTCCCAGTCCGAGCTCTCCTCCTGTGGTGTGCCGTATGCAAATGTTATGATTTACATATGCAAATATGCAAATACGCCAGTCCGGGTCACAGTGGCAGGTGGCAGAGACTGGGAAGGTAAGGGGAGGGAGAGGATAAAGGGGTAGGAATTTTAATTTGGGGCTAGAATGGCTGGAGAGAGGATACTGAGGTAGGCTTCAGGGTATGGTGAGGGAGCAGTTTCAGTCCTAAGAAAGGTGTGGGTCTGCCGGAGACTCCTTTTCTGTCCAGCCTCTGTTAGGCCTGAGGTTGGCTCTGCTTGGCAAGGTTGGCAGCGAGAGCCTGGGCACCATCTGCTGCTGGTGGCAAGGAAGGCGGGGAAGGAGAAGGCTCAGCTGGGTTGGAGGAGGGGGGGATCCTGGGACATATTTAGGGAGACCACCTCCCATCTATAAATGAAAGTGGGAAAAGACCGTGAAGTAGGCACTAGAGTCTGGGCGCCTGTTTCTTAGAGCCCTCTGCACCTAACTCCTCCGCACATACTGAGGGGAAAAGGACAAACATCTTGAGAAAGGCCCCGCCCCACCCTTATCTCTTAAGTCAGCATAATGAGGCTGGAGGGGGGTTCTGAGAAGTCCAGCTTCCCAAGACGAAGTTCTCTAGCCCAGCCGCCTTCTGCTCTTTTCCCTTCCATTGCGCCCGCTACCCAGGGGATACTCCAAGCCCGTTATCAGGGTTCACTGATGCACTGGAAGAAGGCGTGGAAAGTAGAAATGACACTGGGTCGGCCACTGCTTGTCCCAACCCCCTCCACCACACAAACTGTTGTCCCTATCTCTGCGAAGAATAAATTGTGGGAGTCAGAGCAGACCCGAGGGAAGTCCTGGAGAATGGGGTGGGGGGAGAGATGTCTCCCACTCCCTTGCAACGCTGAAGCGAAACCAATTTGCCGGCTCATTTGCTGCGATGCTGGGGGGTCGGGAAACCCGGGAGGGCTGCTGTTCTCCACCCCACCCCCCTGCCCCGTTTACACACGCAAGCGGGGCGGGGGGGAGGGATTGCGCTCCCCTTTCGGAGCCGGCAGCTGTCGCTAATTAGAGCAGAGGTTTAATTGGATTTATCAGCAGTTAATAGGAAATTAAGCAAAGGGCCCGAGAGGCGATGGGGAGGGTCTAGGGAGGATACAGATTGGGAGGCGGGGTGGGGTTTGGAGTGGGAGTGTGCTTGTGTATTTTGGGGGGCGAGGTAAGGTCACCGAGGTCAGCTGCAGAAACTAGGAAGGAGGAAAGTGATAGTATGTACCGGCATCCCTTTTACATGGTTACACAGTACATTGACCCCAAATCGCAACCAGACTTTTCTTGCCAGGTGGCCACCCTCACCAGGTCGCCGACCCCTGGGGCTCCAGGATCAGAATGAACCAGTCTCCTGAAGGAGCTACCAGGAAGAGCATGAGAGGAAGGGGCAAGTGGAGCTAGTGTGAACCAGAATCTCCCAGAACACCACCTCCCTTGTAGCTATGATGAATGATTCGGCCTTCAGCAAAGGTCAAGAAGTCTAGCCCAGAAAGTGGACTGAATTGAAAACAGGCTGGGGTTAGGGTGGACAAACTGTCCACTAGGCCTTTGATGGGGCTAGAAACCAGCTGCATCCCACCCTCTCTCCTAAATTGAACAAAGAATGTGTCTTGCCATGGTGGAAAGGACACTGGAATTAGGAGTCAGGATACCTGAATTTGAATTCCAGTCTTACTACTCAGCTGTGCAGTTTTGTACAAGACATTTTGTAGCTTAGTTTCTTACCTTCGAAATTAAGGGATCAAACTAGCTGACCTCTAAAATCTCTTCCAGCTCTGACATTGTGTAATTCTAATCCTGAGCTCCAATTTTCCTATTTCCCCAACCCCTCCCACAGGAAAATGGAAAAGTGAGACTTGGTAAAGTTAGGGAGCTGAGCAGGAGTGTTGGAGACTAGGAAGAAGTGTTAGGGCTTGACCTGGGGCCCTTCTTCCCTTGGTATTGTTATGCGTCTCTCCCTTAGATCAGCACGTACTGGGCTGGCTCCCCAGTTCTTGCCTCCTACTTCACTCTGGGCCGAGGATACTGGGCCTTTCCCTAAATCCCTCTGGTGGTTCCTTTCGTTTGCATTAGACCCAATTTGCATATTGATGCAGCTCCCCTACAAGTCCTGCTGTGGAGGGGTGGTGGTGTGGAGATGTGGCGCAGAAGGGGCCCACGGGTTCCTGCAGACGTTCCCCAATTTGCATTAGGGACGGCATCTACCACTCTGTGTTCTCTGAAGATAAGCCCTATTCCCACCCCTGGGTGGTCACTCAATGAATTCGCTCCCTCCTCCCTTACTGTTCAGGGAAGGGGGACCCCCGAAGAGAGGGAGGGAAACTCAAGGGACTGAAGCCCCTGGGGCCCCTCCAGTAAGGGGAAGCTCATAATATGGCTTCGGCCCTCCAGGACCCCCAGGAGCCCGGAGCTAAGCTGGGGCTGCAGGAAGCTGTTGAGTCAACAGCCGGAGGCACCTCGTGTCACCACGACCTCATTACACCACTAACGAGGCCACGATCCCCTGAGAGCCGCAACCTGCCCCGCTCTGCCTATTTGCCTGGAGGTCTGAGAAGGGTTGGATTGCAGAACTGAGGGAAAGACTGACGGGACACTGTGTGCCTGAGAGTGCGTCTTCATGCCTGGCTGTGACTATGTGTGTTTGTCTTTGTGTGTGTCCTTTTGTCTATCTGTCTCGGTGTGTCGTGTGAGCCTGTGTGTATGAGAGATTCGGGGTGTGTTTGTGTCTTGGTGACAGTGCGTGGGCGTGTGCCTGGGTGTGAGACGCGCTGTATGTGTCCGTGTGACAAAGTGACGGGTGTGTGTGTGTGTGTGTGTGTGTGTGTGTGTGTGTGTGCGTGTGTATCTCGCCCCCTCCTATTTCCTCCTCTTCCCCATTTCTATTCCTCTCTCCTCTCCCGGCCTGGCTCCCGGCTCCGCTGCCTCCATCATCTCCATCCATTATTGAAGAAACAGCCGCGTCCGCTCCAATCATATCAACAAATCCCCATCACCACCGACACCCCCCACCCCCCTCACCAGGGGCGCAGGAGGGGGAGCCAAGGAGTTGGGGGGATCAAAGACGTGCTGTGTGGGGAAGGGGGATCAAGGGCTGAGGGAATAGAGCTCACGACCTCATGCCCTGAGCCGAAGGGCAGGAGGGCTGGGACCGCGGGCCGGGATGCCTGGGTCCCCCAGCGGGAGAGCGCTTTGCATAAACAGATGGTGCGGATGTCTTTGTCTCTCTCGCTCTCCGTCTCCGCTCCTGTCTGGCTGATGCAATAAGCACATCTCGGAGCCTCGGGACCCAGCTCCCTTAATAGCGGGAGAGGGGGGTCAGGGAGAGGGGGACGACGGGAGGGGGTGGGGGGAAGAGCAGCTCCCGAGCAGATGCTGATTTGTCTTCCTTCCTGGACACCATCTCCTCCCTACAGCTGCATCAGGGAAAACTGAGACCATACAGGAGCTGAGAAGAGGAAGGGAAATGGGGAATCAGGCTTCAGGGTTGTTCTTGGGAGTGCTGCAACCTCGGGGTTCTAATGTCGAAATTGGGGGGTAGGGTGGGAGGGAAAGAGAGGCAGAGATAGATGGGCAGAGACAGGACAGGTAAGATCAAGTTGGTTAGAGGACTTGTAGATGGAGGTTTTGGAGCAAAATGCCAGGACCTTGGATAGCGCCCTAGAGGGAGGAGTTGGGGGGGCATAGATGGAAGTGGGAGAGGTGAATGCCAACATGCCCCTGCCCAGCCACCTTTTCTCCCTACCGACTAGTTTGGGAGAACTCTCTAGAACTGGCATTCAGCGTTGGCCACCGGGCCCAACTGCCCAGGGATCCCCAACTTCTAAGCCCTACCTCCTCAATGCTCTGGAGATTTGACAGGGCAGCCTTGGAGTGCATTCCCATATTACCACTCCAGACCCAAGACACACACACACACACACACACACACACTCCTTTATCTCCCACCATCAAATGAACAGGAGTGGGTGACTGAGCTAAAGTGACTGTGTTCTTGTCGTTGTCAAGAACTTTTAGCCCCTGAACCTCTTGGAAAGGCCCTTTTCTGTACCTGGGAACGCCCTGGAGGGCAACATCCACCTGGTCCAGCAGGTGGAGCTCTGAGGCTTTGCTCTTCACAGACTCTCCTAATACTGAGCGGCTGGGACCTAAACCTAAAGCCTGGTGTGGGGACCTGCACTGCATGTGGACCAGTATCCTTAGGACTTCCCCGGTGGGCCTAACTCATTTTAATATGCAGTAGGGAGGAC